AAAAAAAAAAAAAAGACAAAGAAGAAAAAGTGATATGTATAATGCTATTATTAGACTGCGGATTTTTATGGGTTTATGGAAATTTTCCAAGAAAAAAATTGTATAAAATATCCAAAGGACAATGCTTCCTGTAACATAGATTGTGTGAAATTTATTTTTTTATCTAGTTATTTCTATTTTTCGAATTATATTCACAAAAGTGAATCTCTATTCTAATTTCATATTTTTATGTAATATTTCACTCTCGATGTTTTATCTGTATTCCGCGTACTTTTTACACTTTTCTTTTCCCATCCTTAAATCTACGATGTAACGTTGTGCAACTTATTTTTCCGCGTAATCGTTATTGCAACACGCTGCTTTCGTAATTCATTCGCAGAAGAATCAATATTGTTTTTCTGTTATTCCTCGCTGCATCTGGTGATTTTTGCATGAAATTAAAGGGACGCTTCAAGGATCAATATTTTTACTGTGAAGTTTGCGTTAAAGAAATGATTTCGAGAAAAGGACTAGTGGTGATTATATAAAAATATAAAGTTTACGTTTATTACTTTACTTATTTCGAAGTAATGTAATCATCAATTTTATGTTCGTTACGTTCATTTTGTCTCAGAAAGACATGTCTTCCCGTTCATTTCTTATTTAAGTGAAAAAGTGCCGAATTTCTCAGCCCTCGTATATAAAAACCCGTGGTCTAATAATTTTAAACACATTGTCATTTATCGTGTAACTGTATTGTTATTTGCTTGAAAGTGAAGTAGTTTACTTACTCCCAGTATTCCTCCACCGGAGTAGTATGGTGTGAAATGGTATCGTTATGATTCACGTACGTCGAATTTGTGCTATTCGAGTCACCATGATCAATGTCAGAATCGAGTTTCTCAACATTTTCGAGGCCGTCGTAGCAATCTTTGGTGTTCCACCAGTTGCCTATAAAATGTCATTTAGATAGAAAGGAACACGAAGAACATTCATATCTATGTTTATTATTATTAATTATCGAACCAACCACAATTCCTCCATGGTATGTTCGGTATATTTAGGAAAGTGCTTATCAGATAGAAAAGCGTCCACGCGATAATAATGCAGTAGTACACGTCTAGGAAAAATACTATCGTCATCGTGGCATATCCAACACCTAGAAAACGAATATTCTTCGGATTATGAAATATTCACGTTGGCAGCAGGTGATTTCATTTCGAAATACCTTGCATCAGGGGGCATAACTGCCCGACTAAAGTCATCCCTCCAGCCCCAAGATACTGGCCAATAGCCACTTCTTGGAAAAATATCGGAATCCCACAGAACACCATGGCAATGCCATACGTCACTAGAAAAGCACCTGCCATTCAAGAAAATATGAATTTGTCAATTTGCACTTGCATTCGGAAATTCCAGCTTGACTTTGCGCTTGTAAGTTTGAA